TAGATATACTGCACAATAGGTGGTTCACAAACATCATACACCAGAAATAGATATACTGCACAATAGGTGGTTCACAAACATCATACACCAGAAATAGATATACTGCACAATAGGTGGCGCTTTCAGAAAGATTTGTTTTATTCTTATCAAGTGTCATCTATTATCACTATAAGATTACCGACTGAAACATATTGTTTATTTTCATATTGACAAAGATACAAGTCATTGTTGTTAAACAATTTGTCATCATAATTAAAATTTTAGTTTCATCTTTTTTTTCTTATTTTAGCTCCAATAATATTTGAAATACAGGGTCAAGACACCAGAAAGGCTTGAACCCATGATCCCTAGATTGAAAAGCAGATATGCCAACAACTATTGGCTACTGATTTCATCTTTAGAAGTACTGCATCTTTCAGAAATTTTCAGTCTCGGACCACAGCTTTCTAAGTGCAGTCTTTTTAACATTTTTTTATTATCTTTTGTTCGGTTTTACATAGCACCATATGCTTTACTGGTGGAAGACCTCAGACCTCTGGTGCCCTTCTATGAATTACTTTAGGCACAAATAGGCACCTGAGTAGAACCACTAACATACTGTAAGCTAGCTGGATATATCTTATCCAAAGTCTTGTGTCAGTGAGGAGCATTATATAAGTCATTTGACACTCAAGTCAATGTCTGACCATACTACATACTTCTGAAATCACTTATTAACAAGACAGGTCACTTACATAAATTCAGTGTTATTATATATCTTCTCATTTTCTACTGTTCTAATCTTTTACAATTTCTCTTCTTGTATATTTAATATATAACAATATAAATCCACCATACAAATTCTCCTTTGCCAGAGATAACGAGGCATGGAAAAACTCTTTAAATCCTATATTAATACCCATCCTGCTGCTATATGTAAAGCTGAAACTAAAGTATGATTACATACATAGAAAACTGAAGTAGTTTTTTTAGCTGAATATTATGTACAAGCACTTTTCACTGCCTATCTCAAACATTACATCAGTCATGTCTCTCTGTGTGTAGCTCCAAAAACAAAGCAGTCAAGTAGAAAACACAGCATGTCCTTCCATTTCCATTGTACATTCAAACAAGTAATACATGTTTTATTGTATTTCTTTTAGAAAATACTTGATGATTTTATTTTTTGCTGAATATATGAACAATATCTATTGTCTAGCTCCTTAATGTATGTGTGCTTAAACTTGTAGGTCATACCAGGATCAAAGCAAGCATTGTGTAAATGTCTTGAATGTCTCAGTCTTATAATATAAATGTCTTAGTCTTATGATTATAAATATCTGTCTTACAATTATAAAGATCTCAGTCTTATAATGTAAATCTCTAAGTCTTATGATTATAAATATCTATGTCTTATAATGGCAATGTATTAGTCTTATCAATTATGAAAAGTCTCATTCTTTTAATGCAAATGTCTAAGTCCTATAATTGTTTACTATGTCAGACCAGTTCTCATTTACTATACTATAGAAAACCAGCACAAGTACATGGTTCTGTTAAACTAAGTTTATTGCATGTCCTAGTACAACCAGCACAAATCACTAACATCATGTAATATCAGTACTTATTTGTAAATTACTACTATAAGACCAGTTCTGAATAATATTGTAAGACCAGTTTCTAAATATATCACTCTTTAAGAGATCAGTACTTAAATGTAAACTGCTAGATCAAGATTACTCATAAAACTATGCTAAATGAGTGCTAATTCATTAACTCATCAAATCAATTAAGAAGAATATCCAAAATGTTCCTCGCTTCCTAATTATCTCTCTCTTTTCTTAATCAAATCAAACTACCAATTAAATCATTAAAAAATTAGACACACATTTATTAGATTGCATATTTTTTTGACAGCATTATGAAAGCAAAGCTCTTGCATATTTGTTAATTACTGCGCAAGAAAAGCAAAACAATAAAAATTTGCTTTGATGTGCCAGCTGCATAAGACAACGAGTTCCAGGAAAGATTAACAAAATGCAAACAACCAAATTCTTGGAACTGTTCATGTCCCATCCATAATTAATTTGATCAAGTTCAGTTATCCTGGCTTCCTTTAAATTCTTTAAAACTTTCTAATTTCCCTGCATGGTGCATTTAATATCTCGCTGATTTGATAATCAATGTGACAAAAACAGTCTTGCCAAAACTATTCAAGGCTTAAGTTATTTCCTTTTCTCTTTTGTCTGTTACCTTTTGAAAATCTGGACAATTTACACTTTCAGATTTTTTTCCCCTCTCTTAATTATTGAAGAAATGCTGCCATGAGTTTTTTATGCAGAAATGATGGGGCAGGCTATTAGATTTGACTTTCCATCAAATTAATGAAGCTCTTATTATAAGCAAAGTGGACACTTTCCAACATTTATTGAGGCCCCAATTATGAGGGGGAAAATCGTTTTTTTTTTATTTAAACATCACGTTTTCTCCCTAATTAGCCAACTAAATAGATTTATTATTTAAACTATTCTGACTATATTTCAATCATTTATCTAATTTATATCCCGCTACTTTTCTATACCACCAGGTCAGTTTTCATGTCTGTACAGTCCGAAATGAAACATTTTTCTAACTTGCTCAATTTTTTTTTTCAGATACTGAAACCACTGGTACTGTACAATGGACCCCTCTGAGTTCAAAGCAGGAGATGTCTTTACAAAGTTCTACAAGTTAAGCCATTAACCCTTAAAGTGCTGGAACCAAAAGCGTTAAGCCTCTGCCACCAGAATAGAGCCAGGCCAGCCTGCACATCCATGCAGTCTGACCAGGCTGTATACTGTTGGCTGACAAACTTTGAATATTCAAATTGATATCCCTAAAATTGATAATGGACAGTCCCAAAAATGGAAGTGGGAAATATTCTGCATGTTAAGGGTTAACTGTAAGTGGTTACCCTTTGCCACCAGTATAGACCAAGGCCAGCCTGCAAGTACAATGCAATCTGGTCAGGTTCAATACTGTTAGTAGGCCAATTTTTGTATTTTAAAACTGAAATCCCTAAAACCTGGAAATGTTTGTTCTACATTTAAGGAAGGGCAAATCCATTATGCAAATTTAGCTGGTAAAGGATAAGGGTTAGTCAATTCATTCTAATATTGACACAAGAATAAATTATCTGTGCTGTTTGCTACCTGTTTGGCTATGTAAATGGGCTAAAATATTATTTCTCGTCTAATAGAATCACATCTATTTCGAAACTTGATTTTAAAACAGATTACAATTTTACTGCAATATTTCTCAGTCTGCAGCTTTTTTCTTTAGATCTTTTCAAAAGAAACAAATGAGAAGGGAGCTTTTTTCTTAAACAAACGAGATGATTTTTGGTTAACTTCAAGTCAAAAATGACAGAATAAGTGTCAAAGTAGAGACGTGCCTCTCTGTATTTTCTGTGAAGATTATGATAGGAGTTTCAGACCCTGTACAAGCATGTTACGCTGCAAATGATTAGTTCAATCCAGATATGTAAACGAATATTTCTATACGTATTGATCATAAAAATAACCGTCTCACAGTTTGACGCTCCGGCTGACAGTCTGCGATACTAATTTTTTCTTCGTGTCAATAGAGGGCGATCAATCGTGTCACAATTTTATATGATGTAATTGAGCAAGGTCGTAGCATTGCAATCAGACTTCCATCAAGTTTCTGCCAGATTTTGACAGATTTGAAATGATACTCTGTACAGCTTATCTATCATAAGAAAAATACTGATTTATCAGACTATCAAATTTTCTGCAGTTTTTTTTTTTACTCTCTCTTACATTCCATGTAATAATGTCTGTACAAGTAAACATTTTCCATCATTTTGACAAATTCATCAAAATGTTGTTTTTTTTCTTACAGAAAAATGGAAATGACCTTTTTCGCTGCAGTTTGATTCAAGCTTGTTTTGATTTGTCAATTTTCAACATTAGGTTAAAAAAAAATTCCATTTGTCTTCATATTTTAGTATTTTATTGCTAAATTTTTGGGAAATTTAATTTTTGATGCTTGTAATTTTAACTGAATTAATTGACACTTTCTTAAATCTATATGCTATTGTTCCTAAAATATTGTTTTAAAAAGATAGGAACTCATTCAAAGACATATTCCTACCCATTTCCTCCTATTTCTCTGTATAAAAAGTTTGTAACAAGACATAACTCCATTTTAGTAAAAGACTGTAATGTCAAAGGTGGCAGACAGGAACTACTTTTTTCGTTAAATACTAAAATGTCAAATGTGTCAGACAGAACTACTTTCTTGTAAAAGACCGAAAGATCAAAGGTTTTAGACGTAAAAATTTTGATCAGTTTTCAGAGGTTTAATAAGGCTGATATATTGCTGTTTGTTTAGGATGGATATTGAATCATTTTCCAGAGACACACAAATCCCTTTTGAGCTGTTACAATTCTGCAATTAAGTTTGATCAATTTTCTAAACTTTACCTCTGTTGTTAGGGAGAAATTAGAAAGTAATTTCATTATATGCTGGATACATAGGGTATTTCTCTTATCTTTTTTCTGTCTCCAAAACAAAATCGAATTAAGATTTCACTGATTGAGTGCTATAGTAATAAAAGAACTTGCATTACTGTCTGTAGCTACTGCTCTTTAATATACCATATATTCTCTAATAAACGCCCCTGAGGGTGTTAAATTTTCCGAAGGGGTCCTTGATTAAAGAGTAAAAGTATAAAAAAGGGTAAATGGCGTCAAAATGAAATGAATGTTTACTGTTTCAGTGTCATTATCTGCTGGAATATATATACTGGAACCTGCTGTGTTAAAATGTCTGCCCATTTCCTCGGATCAGAAAAACACTGTCATTGTCTTAGTAACTCGCTTTTATTTACTACGTCAAAAAAGGAGCAGAAAGAGCTTTATGCTAGTTTGGATGCCATTAGCATGAGATTTTTGACAAATTACGGTAGTTACAAATTAGGAAGGGTTAGATTAAAATAATTCAAATGTTCAACTTACCAACAACTACGAGTGAGAAATTGACATTTATACTGCCAAAACCATTTGTTGCCTTGCAAACAAATATCCCCGCATCATCCAATTCTATGTCTTTAATTCTTAACGCCCCTTCTTTCTTCGTTATCCGATATCTTGGCCACATTTCCGTGATTGTGTCACCATCTTTGAGCCATTGTACAATTGGTACAGGGTCTGCCTCAACTGGACAGGCAAACCGCTTCTTCGTTTGACCAACTTTTGCAATCTGTCGAGCTTGATATTCACCAACCTGCTTTGGAGGCCCTGCAAGAAAAAAAAGTAAAATTCATGAAGTGAAATCTTAACAAAAGAAAAAATTATAAGAATTAAGCAAAGCAGTTTATTGTAAACTATTTTTCTTCTTCTAATAACAGATATGTTAAGGCGCAGGTTAAAAGACTTTTATAAATTAGCTTTTATAATCTTTGTTTTAATCAGTAGGGAATTTTATCATCAATTTGCTCTTTCAAAAGATCTGCATCAGTTTGATTTCTATCAGTGCACTTCTTATTTTCTTATCAGTTTTATCATTTTTACACTTATTTGAAATTACTTTATCTTTTTCATGTTTACTTCAAATTATTCATCTTTACCAACCCTTCTTATTTTTTTTTTACATAAAATATATCACAACAGGTATAAATCTTATGAAACTATGTACCAGCATATCTCGAAGTTCTAACATATCTTGCGGAGACATTAATTGATATCTATTAATCAACCAATTTATGTAATTGATTGTTTTTTTCTTCATTTCCTCGATATCAAAATTATTAAATACCTAAAAGCTGCCAGTATTTCTAAACAGAAGTAAATTTTATAAAAGATAACCTATAACAAGCTATATTTTTCTCGATAAAATTTCAGTGAAAGGCCTTCAATGATTAGACTCTCCTCTAATCTCAATGGCGTGCAAACAGACACGAAATGAATTACCAAGATCTCTAATAGACACCAAAATAAATTACAGGGGTGCATTAATAAAATAATTGACATTCACTGCACAAAGTTCACACATATTTTTTGTAGTTTTTTTCTGCCTGATGTCTCAAAGAGAAATATCCTATGCATCGGAATTGCTCATGTGGTGAAATGGTAACACTGCTGAGATAGACATGACTATAAATCTATATTCTTTAATAAGATTAAAATGTTTTTATTATCAAGAGTTTAAATGTGAAACAAGAATCAGTTATACTGACAGATGCTCACTGATCCTGCTTTGAAAAAGCTAAAATCTGGCCTTACTAAGGAGAAAAAGAAATCAAATTTTTGCCTCAGCAGATACCAGTCAAATGAATGAAGTTTCTATTAAAATAAAGGTAAAGTATGGAGCAAAAACAGAACAGATGACAGGACAAACTGGTTAGTACATACTCCAAGAAAAATAATTTTTGAAGCATTAAAATCTATGATATATTTATAAAATAAGATATAATGTTGTTCACAAGGTAGCAAATACATGGCAACAAAGTTATAACATGTTCATTTACTCTTTCATAGCAAGTAGCAACTAAAAATGCTCAAGACATCAGTTTCAAGTTGGAACAGAGATGTAGATAACATTTATCTACAGCTCTGGTTGGAACATGTTTTTGAAATCCCCTTAAATCACTTAATGAATGGTCATAGTTCAAAGCAAGGCAGATTTATGAGTCAGTCCACTTCAAAAATTCAGCATGACAAGGTTTATGACCACTACAATTATATCATAATAACAGAAACACTACTTGATGATGTTGAAATTAATATGACAACATGTATTAATGATAAAAAAATGAATATTACATTTATGCAAATTAGTCTAATGAATAATGCATAATATTTGCAGAACTTGCATGTTCATCTTCTAAATATACTCTCCCTGTGCTATAAAGACTGTTTATTCAAAAGAATATTAATTAAAATTGTGAGTTTGTTATTAAAATGCATACATAATTAGAATCCAGATTAATGATTCATCAATAACAGAATAGGAATTCTATCATTGAAATGCATGTACGTAAGAAAGGAGAATAAACATATATATTGTGATACTGATAATGGAATTGCCCAGTTTATGAATTTTGAACTGTTCATTATAAGTTTATGGGATTTAAATATAATTATACTACTATCGAGCTCCCAACAGTATAAATCCCTGTCAGACAACATGGAAGTGTATGCTGTCCAGGCTATATACTGGTGGAAAAGGCTAATTATGTTTGGTTCCAGCAAGTTAAGGGCTAAAAATAATTATTTTTAAATGACTTTCACAAAATTATATTATTGCCTTACAATAATATAATTATGTAACTATATATCCATAAAGTTGTAGAAAAAAAAGAAACTACTTATTTAAAGTCTAAAAGGGGCTATTGATATTGAATGACTAGGTCAATATGTGACCTTAACCAGGTGTGTCCTTGACCTTAAATCTGAGAAAGGCCAAACCTATCTAATAATGGTGAACTTTAACCAAATAATTTTAAATTCCTTCAATCAGTTCAAAAGATACAGAGGCAGATAGAACTAACTTGAAATTAAAGGAAGCCCAAATCTGCACTCTGCACAAATTTGTCTCATTATGGTTAACATTTTTGCCACATAGTTTCAATTTCTTTCCAAAGGTTCAAAAGATAAAGAGCAGACAAAGGTGCATTGCACTATATGTTGAAATTTTTTTTTTGGCATGTCAAAAAAGATATTAGAACAACCATCTGTGTAGGAAATCACCTTTATTACACAAATCCCATCCATCTTTCTAACTAATAATTAAATGTAACATTATAGCCAAGTTCTATTTCATAATCACCACACTGTCATGAATAACTAACTACTGTACAAATTCAAGTGGCACAAAAATAAACTTAATACTTTAAACAATCATCGCAAACATGATATAGTCATGACTGTGTATAAAGAAATGCATTCTTTATTTTTTAAGTCCAGTTTTAAGTCACATACATTCATTTATGGGGTAGTTGAAGACCTTCAAACTTTCAAGGGGAAGACCCAAGATTTGTGATTTACCGGTATGTATACTTTCAGAAAGACTCCAACCCATATTTTCTGGGTTGAGTGGCAGTCACCTTAACCATTGCTCTTTTAAATGAGCTTGAAATTGAGATGTCCTTAAAATAAGTGCATTATGAATAAAATGACAATCTAGGTGTTGAAAAAAAATCACCCTTTTCCTTTTGACACATTAGTGCATTCAAATTTATAACTTGACTAATTCTTTTCAGCAGTGTACATCATCGGATATCAAAATGTAATTCTTATTATTTCTTATTATTGCTACTGACTAAAATCCATGCCACTCATAGAAGGCTTCATGATTGCAGACAGGTCCATGCCAGTAGATGTACAATGAAAAAAAATCAGTTAAACATCACAGTTACCTCCCTTTTGTTTTGTTTTTTGATGTGATAAATTTCACTTGACAACCTCTGTCGTACATGAAGACCTGTTTTGACCCTTAACAAGATCACTTTAAAGGTCTCTCCTTACAGGTAAAAAATTTCATTACTTATCGTTTAAGATAAACAGGAAGAAAACTGTTTTATACTTGTTATCTATCGTAAAGGCCTGAGAGTAAAAACAATTCATTCTTAACATAAAATGGCAATAAACAATTATAAGAAGTTCAGGATCTGCAGATGTAACAATTAATTAAACAAGCAACAGATGTATGAGTATAATAAATAACACTTTATTAATTACTGTTCTTAAGTGCTTTAATCATGTAACATTAAAATAATGTGTTTGTAACACTTACAACCACTGTGTATAACCCTGAGGCTTTTACTAAGCTCTTTTAACATTCCATCTTAAAACTATCAAGAAATTTGAGTGACAATTAAAAGGAAGTTTCTGACAATTTTCACTAACAGTAAGCCCGGAATCAAGTTAAATTTTGGATCTGTGTGTTGGATTTGTCCAGCATGAAATTAGGAAAAGTCCTTTAAAAGTTTAGTAATTTCAAAATCTGGATCAATTTTAGCTGTATAAGAGACTGGTCGGATTCCAGGCTGTGTCATTGTTCCTGGTGGCAACAACAAATTTTCATGGCTCAAACTTAAATTTTTACTTACAACAGACTTATACAATGTAAGGTCTTACAATTTATCCCTTAACTTGCTTAAATCAAAAGTAATAAGTCTTTGCCAGTATCAAGCCAGGTGAGCCAGCTTATTCATGCAGGCTCTGTCCAGGCTCTATTCTGTTGGCCGACTTACTTTAAATTTCTATCTTAATATCTCCAATTTAATAATGGGCAGTCATAAAAAAGGTAGCTTGGCAAGTTGATTTCAGAAATACAGCAGGCAAAGGTTTAATCCCTTTCCAATATCCTGTATTAACCAATAACTCTTAGCAAGACTCTTTTTGGTAACCAAACATAAAACAATCTTGACTAAAAATTACATCAAAGGAAAGGATCATGGATTAAAAAATTTTGTAAGGTCAATAAGGGATGGGGATGTCAAGAAAAAAGCGATTTTGAAATCTACGAGATATTAATAAATGTTTATGAAGGAAGAAATGATGTCTGAGTGAAAGAAAATTCTTGTTTTATAATCAAAGAGTCCTTGTTTGAAAGCCACCTTAGATGTTTAAACTCTTTAAAATAATGCAAACAGAATACAAATTTGAATTTCATAGAGACCTGGTATAAAGTAAACTATTTAAAAAGAAAAAATCAAACTTTTCTTTTATGTAATCTTGACAATCTATGATACCCTCATGATTTACAATAGACTTGAGTGTATGAAGTGAAATATTACACCTGTGAAGTGAAGGGGAGATTTGCATGATGTTAGGCATTCAATATACATCAGGCTTGTTGTTTAATTCAAGCTCTTTTCTCCAGGTCACCTCACAAGGTTAAACTATCTATTGACATTTCACATTACAAAACTATTAAAGAAAACTCTTGCATTTTTTTTTCTTCAAAATATCAGTTCAACTTGAGTTTTTAATGAAAATTGTGTGAGAGGTGTACTTGAGAGAAAACATGTTTTTAATTTCAGAGAATGACTAAGAGTTGGTAATCACTTGCTATTATGTCATCTTAGTACAGAGCAAGTCAAGTCAGTTCATCCATGAAGTTTGGCCTGACTATATGACTCTATATTGTCTTTCTTTAATTTAATTTAATTTTATAGCATTATTATTGGACAGTTCTAGATAATAAACTGGACATGTTCATTACACAAATACTGCATGGTTTATAGTAAATGAATGCAGCTCTAGATTGACATTTCATTTTCAGATATCTTTCC